TTCCTGCTACATTATACCTAATTATACCATGGCCACTGCACATTTTCGTTGAGTACAGCTTAAGTATTATCCCTAACCTCAAAGTAAACAAGCACTAGCAGTAGAATGCAGTTTCAGAATAAAAGCAGAATAGAAACTGGAGATAAATAATAAATGAAAGAGGAGTGGCGAGTGTATTTCTCTGCTTCAGTTTCTGCTCTTATACCAGCTCACCTGTACAGGGGTTTCCCTGCCACAGAAAGGCTTATGTTTGGCCCCTGTGTATTTTCAGAGCACCTTAAGCCAAATGAACATAGAGGCCTTTAAGTGACATATCAGAATGAATATATGCTGAAAACAATGGAGCTGATGCTGGTCTCTGTGCTGTGCACAGGTGGAGAAGCATGGAGTGTTCTATGTTCAGAAGCAGTGCTCCAACCTGCTGCAGGAGCTGCCCGAACTCACAGACGACCTGGAGCCTCATGTGTCCTGGATGAGCACCGCGCTCGGTAAGTTCAGGCCACTGCACATGTTCAGACTGGACCCCCGCCACACAACAGGGTGCCTGCATCTGCAGCTCATCATGAATAACAGCAGAGTTGGAACAATTCATCAGCTGAAGCAGAAGGAAAATGATCATTAGCTAAAATCCTGTATGAACGAGCTAGAAACAAGCTGCACCTCAGTAGTGACTGATGGTTAAACATGAGCTGTTCTCTGCACGGAGCACTTTTATTGTACATTTTACTGTACTCGTATACTTTCTTTCAGTGCAGAATCAGAATCAGCTTTATTGGCCAGGTGTGTCGGACACACGAGGAATTTGACTCTGGTACATCGGCTCTCGATGTGCATGTACATATCCCCATGCAAGTAAACAGTAAATCAGCATAAGGCTGTGTAAGATAATAAAATAAGCAGTCTTAACAAGCAACAAACGGTGCAAGCAATGCAAAATAAGCAGTATAAACAGGCATTACTTGTAATGTACTATTTATACTGTGCAGTCCCTCAGACACAGTCAACACTGACTCAGAAAACATCACCTAACAAGAGCCTTTACCACACTGCTGTGTAATACAACCCCAAATCAGAACGAGTTAGGTGGCAAGTAAAATCAAAATTAGAACAGTTAACAGTGAAGTGTAAACCATCTGTGTCCTGTATCACACTGAAAACAATACAGCAGCACATTATTTGATGTGACACCTCAGTTTTAATCTTCAAAATAAAAAGTAACTTCAATCCTGATGCTGCAACACATTCCAAAAACAATTAGGACAGTGAAGTGTTTCCCACGGTGTGCTGCTGCTGTTCCTTTTCACAACACTTAAGACATTTAGGATCTGAGGACACCAAGAGATTCAGTGTGTCAGGTGCCATTTTGTCCCATTCTTCCTTTTGGCACAGCACAGTTTTAAGCAGCATTTATGGATGTAACTACGTATTGTAGTGGCTGACACAGGTGAGCCAACGTCATCCTGAGCCCATGTGGTTATATCGCTGATAGAAGAGTGATGATTCTTGATGCGGTGCCGTCTGAGGGATCGGAGAGCTCGGTCATCCAGCTCAGGCTCGGCCCTTTACGCACTGAAATCCCTCCAGACTCCTTGAATCTTTTAAGGCCGTACGCTATGATAACAGAATCCTCTGCTGTGTTTGGTATCATAGCTCCCAAACTCACCTGCAGGTAAAACAAGAGCCACCAGAAAATTACAAAGGACATGCCTGTTACTTTGGGAGTTCTTGCTGTTCTCCAGCTTCCTCAGAATGAAGCGAGATTTACTGTGACAACCGTCAGACTCACAGGGGTGCTCTGCTGCTTCATCAGGTCAGAGTAGACGTGAAGAATGCGTCGTAACACTCGGCTCTTCACTCCTCTCAGGGCCCTCAGGTTGTCCACCATGATTTGCATCACAATGGTTTTCATTAGCTGTCGCAGCGATTCATATGTCTAAGCAACAGAAAATGTGAGGATGATTCAGTTTGGTGATTAAAGAGCTGTTCCCAGTGGTTTGGAATGTTTCAGCCTTTCTTCCATTTCTGTATGATCAAAACTCGAGTTCAGTTTTGAAAGTTGGCTGAGTTTTGTAATGCTTCACAGAGTGCACTTCAAGTGATGTCAGCATACTACAGACATACAGTCAACAGTCATCAATAGAGATGCACTGATCGATCGGCAGAGACCGGACATGGCCGGTTTTCAGCACGACCGGTCTTGACCCCATTCTGTGCAGTCAGACTTAGAGGCACGTCAGTCCACATCACTCATGCAGTGGCACAGAGCAGAAGTGTCACTTGTGCAGCATATACCATCTCACGTGCGCCTTGAGCAAGGCATGCGCTTGTGTCTATACCGAGTGCCTGTTCACTTGTTCACTGGAAGCACTTGGTGTACAAACAGAGCACAGAGTACACGCAGAAACAACACTGGAGAAGTGAAACCATGTCCAAATCTCTGACCAACGGTCACAGTGAAGGAATTACTGACATGTGAATGCACAGAGTATCCAACATGTGGTAAAACACAGCAAATACAAACTACACACACTTTAAAAAGAACTGCATGCTCAGTAGTAACGGACATTCTTTTGTTTCAGTTACCTGCTGCACCTGTTCATATTTGGAGAAGTACAAATACTACAATATTTTTTATAAACCTCCAACTAAAAATGAAGTAGGAGAAGGAGGGGGTTTAATAGCTACTGGACAACAGTGGAGGTCTGCGGCACAGAGCAATGAAGTGTGACGTGATCTGTCATCACAAAGCTGAAACTGGAAGACACACTGGTTTGTTCCTGTACATCCTCGAGTGTTTTACCTGTTTCGTTGGGAGGATGCTGTATGGAGACACTTCCACTGCCAGTATCGGAGGTCCCCTCAGGTGACGGAAGTTAATACGGACCCGATGAGCAAAGCGAAAAGCCCACGTCACAAAGGCGTATCCTCAATCAGCAGAGTCTGGCCTGGACACAGATGGTACCTGCAGCAGATGGGACTACTTTCACTACACTGTAAATTTCTTCATTCAGTGATAAATGGAGTTTGTCACAGATTGTCTTACCCGAACTTTTCCCCAGGTGAAGGTATAACCCGCTGCCTTTTTGGAGTCATCACAGCAGTAGTGTGTCCTTCTTGTCGTCTGAATGTTAAGAAGAAGTGTCATTTTAGGCTGTGTTCACATCCAAGCTGAAGTGTCCCAGACCTGATGTGTCCACAGCAGTGTGAACACACCAGACCAGATCTGGGCCACCTGTGTATGTGCTCCTAGACCCGATTCCTCTCCGACCTCTGACTGTGCAGCACCGCCAGAACGGTCAGATCAGAATCCATGTGGTCGTTTTAACGTCTCCTCCTCTGTACATATGGCCTGTCGTCATCATTTGGCGTTGGCCCCTCACAGACCGGTAACAGTAAACATGGAGGAGAGTGACGACAGCGACGGGGTCAGTGGAGAGACCAGGACGTTTTACATGTGGTGGACGTTTATGGAGAAGCTTCTGATCAGGCCAAACTGGGAGGAACATATAACCCAGTGGTTTGGGAGGAAACTGGGCCATTTGACCATCCCACACACACGACCTAGTTGTTGTTCTTGTGCGCACGTGACTCACATTTCAGGCACTTTAACACTGCTTTGCTGTGTGTGAGACGACTAATAAAACCTTGCTGTCAGGATGTGTCAGGCTGTACGATGTCAGATTGTGTGATGAACATCGGTGAACTGTAGAAAATTTATGCTTCTTTGTCTTTTTCTTACACCTTCACTGTTTTGGTTTGTCTCTCTATACTGGGAGAACTGGATCCAAAATGTCTAGGGCCTGGGGCATACGTTGAATTGAAGTGAGTGTTTATTTTGAACAAAGAATAAAACTGATGAGCTGTCACATCAAATAATGTGCTGCTGTATTGTTTTCAATGTAACACAGGACACAGATGACTTGCACATCACTGTTTTCAGTTTTAATTTAGATTTTACACCCTGTCCCAACTTTTTCTGATTTTGGGGTTGTAATTTATCACAACAGTTTTCTTTCATATCAGTCTACTGATAATTATCACAATATAATTCAGGTTGTTATTTCTTGCTATTTGGTTGCTTGACTCTGAAGAACACAATATCATATATATTTATGTGAACTGTGCCATTCTGCATAATGACTGCTTTTACTTTTGGTACTTTAAGTGTATTTTGATGATAAATATGTTATACTTTTACCTAAGTAACATTCTGAATGCAGGACTTCTACTTGTTCAGGATATTTTTACACTGTGATGTTTTTATTTTTAAATAAGTAAAGAATCTGAGTGTTTCTTCCACCGCTGTTCAGTGATGATGATAAAATGTGAATATTTCCTGTTTAAATTTATTTAGCCACAAATCAAAGAGAGCATAACTGCTTGGACTTTACATTTTCCACTATTTGTAGGGATTTATTTTTATTTTATTTTATTGGCACTATTATTGTTCGGCAATAAGAAACGATACAGAGACATGAAAAGCTCACACGCCATAATGAAATGCACTGAGGAGATCACAGCGGCTGTGCGAACAGCTGAGTGCCACCATGTGCCTAAGCCCCGCCCGCAGACTGACACACACAGAAGCTGGAGGCACTTTCTCACTAAACTACACCACAGATGTTTGCTAACAAAGAAGAAAAAGGGGAATGCTAGGAAAGGAGCCGAGCCACTATTCCCACCACTAGGGAGCCACTATTCCCACCACTAGCTCACCTCTGTGGCTCTCGTGTAGTAACGTTAGCACAACAGTAGCATGTGGTGCGTGCTGTGCTCCCCAAGCTTGCTATGTGTTTGGTAGGCAAACACTGTGTACCATGTGACTGGTTGGAATCGCATCCCTCCTGGGATGTGATAGGCTGATGTGCGCGATCAAGCAATGTCCCTTATTGCCAGTTTACTGAAGTCTGTCATTTTCTTATCATTTAGATTTTATATCGCGATGACAGCATACACTGTTCATATTGCCTGGGCCTACCTCAGCCTGTTTGTGGTCTCCAAAGCATTTTTCAGTGGATGTGTCCCAGCGAGATTTAGGACCACGGGTTTCACCACATCTCTATCTATTGTCGAACTATCGCGTGCTTAAGAGCAGTCAGGACCACACCGGCATCCAGAGAGATATTAATAAACGTGACCAGGGAGGGACCGAGAACATCAAAAACCTCCTTGGAAAACCTGGCAGGAATTGGGTCAAAGGGCGAAGAGACCGGTTTTAAGTGGGATATGGTCACTTTTAATTGACAAAGAAATCGAAGTGAAGGAACTAAGAGTACGTAAAATGTGGGATCCAGGCTGAGTATGTGCTGGGGGCTTAGGCATATTATGCCTAAGAGCCCCAATCTTATGCCTAAAATATCTTAGAAATTGGTTGCACAGAACAGGCGAACCCTCAGTGGGTACTGCACCAACTGGATTAACAACAGAATGTATAGTTTTAAAAAGTACTCTCAGGTTACGACTGTTTGTCACTATAGTGTTAAACAACAATTTAGTTTTTGCCTCCTTTACAGCCTCCTGATACGCAAGAAGGCTGGCTCTAAAAATATCCAGTGAGACGTGCAATCCGTCTTTTTTCCATTTGCGTTCGGCTTGCCGGCAGCTCCTCCTCAAAGCCCGGGTAGTGTCATTTAGCCAAGGAGTAGTCGTGTTGCCAGCTCTTCGCATCCTAAGAGGCGCAACGGAATCCATGATCTGGCCACAAGTCGAATTCAGCGAGGAGAGGAATACCTCAGAGCACGTCGGAGCATTTTGAACCACTGAAGAATAGAATTCAGTCTAAAAACGCAGCAGCGAAGTCGGAGGGGGTAGAGGAAGTAATAATCCTGCGATGTAGCTGTGGAGCCACCGGTCTGGGCAGCCTTAAGGGAGTCAAGGGAGTCCAACAGAGCCATAAAATTGATTATAAGGTGGTTGGGTGAGGAGTTAGCGTGAAGATTAAAATCCCCACAGATCAATAGACAATCAGCCTGTGAAGTAAAAGCAGCCAAAAACTCTTCAAGTTCGTGGATAAAATCCTTTGATTTGGGAGGTCGATAGATGACTGCACATAAAATAGGGCAGTGCATCGATAAAACAAAAGTTTGAAGCTCGAAGCTAGAAAAGGCCATATAAGGCAGGAGGTGACATTTTAAAGTTGGCTTAAAAACAGATGCCAGGCCACCACCTCGACCAGCGTGGCGTAGGGAGTTAAAAAATAAATAGTTAGCCGGTAAAAGCTCAGAAAACAGAGTGTTATCCCCTCGTTTGAGCCAAGTTTCCGTGATAAAAAGCATATCCAGATCATGAGTGGTGATAAGATCATTCAAAATGAAAGTTTTGTTATTGAGTGATCTTACATTAAACTGGAGCAAGCCAGGGTGGACCTGGGGGCACACAGTGCGGGACACTGGGCGAAGATTGGAGTGAAGACAATGTCGGGTAGAGCGTCTCACCAAACGAAAATGTAGAAGAGGCGGGTCGGCATCTAGGCCTACTGGTTGAAGAAAGTGGTAGTGGAAGGTAGACGACCATCTCGAGTCGACATAGCCATGCTCCTGGAGGTATCCCATCCCTTGTGACAGGTTCAGAACAGCTTGACGTGCAGTCCTGCTCTCCTGCCACGTCGTCTTCGCTGAGGCCTAACTCGTGTCGGATGGAACGAACGTCGCAGAAAAGGTAGTAGGGACGCTAACAGAGGTGGTGGGGACTTGAATTGCCGACTCCAACAGCAATTTGACCCAGTTGTCATCAAGTTGCGTATTTCAAGCAGCATCAGACGATCGTACACCAAGGTGGAGAAAGCAGAGGGGCCATCAAACAACACACAAAAGGAGTAGACAGCCGGCGAAATACAGTGGTGCCATCTTGGCAGAAGTCAAATGTCTTCAAATTTAAGGCCCATAACATACAGTACTTCTTGCAAATGACAACACCCGGCCCACGCATGTCCCCAATGACAATGGCAGTCAAAACTCTTGTGACTTAGTGGAGCGCCACCTCCTTTCCAGTTTTTGTGATGCCTGCTTTAGGGAGCGGAGCTGCGAGCTGTACCATGGGGCTAGCCTCCTCTGTTTCACTGCCTTCCTTTTCAGAGGGGCAACAGTATCAAGTGTATTACGCAGAGAGGCTGCAGTACTATCAACAAGATTATCGACTTGTTTGGGAGTAAAGTTAAGGTGGCCTCCCTCCACTGTGCTGGCAAATGGCACTGAAGTAAATAATGACGGAATTATTTTTTTAAACTTGGTAACAGCATTGTCAGATAGACATCTACTGTAGTGGAATTGTTTCCCACATAGAGTATAATCCATTAATGTCAATTTAAAAGTTATTAGAAAATGGTCAGACAGAAGAGGGTTATAAGGAAAAAATATTAAGTGTTCAGTTTCGATGCCATATGTCAGAACAAGATCAAGAGTGTGATTAAAACAGTGAGTGGGTATATTTACAGTTTGAGAAAAGCCAACTGAGTCTAACAATGAACAGAACGCATTGTTGAGGCTGTCATTGTCGGCATCTACATGAATATTAAAGTCACCTACTATGATTATTTTATCTGTACTAAGCACTAAATCAGACAAAGTCTGAGAAT